TTTTTTTTTTCTTTTGATTTGTTATGGGTTTCTCGTGCTTTGTTCTTGGAATCTTGTTTCTTTGTTTTGGGCATTCTGAAGTTTTGTTCTTTTTTGTTTTTGTTTCCCTCCTTTTTTTGCTTTCTGGGTTTTGTGAATCTCTATGTTTGTTTTGGGGGAGAGGAATTGTGTCTGCAATTGGGTGGCAAGATATGTTGTGTACAATTCTGTGTTTTCTGTTTTGTTGTGAAATTTTAAGGCTTTCACTCTGAGTAACCAATTAGTTGAACCGTGTTGATTTGGGGCGAGTATTTACTTCTTCTTCTTCTTTGTTTCCATAATCTACGAGCTTTCTCTCTCTCTGACTAAGAGGTGTGTGTGGTGGATTATTGTTCACATGGTTTCATTGTCCTAATGGGTTCTGTTTTGTGATTCCTTCTTTTAGCATATTAACAGCTAATCATACAGCACGAGGCTTATTCGTACCAAACGACTTTTTTGGGTTCTGGTTTTCTTCATTGCTCGGTTATTCTTTTGTGTTTATTCATCTCTTTACCACTGGCCACTCTCTTTTACCCACCTCAGCCTCTTGTCCCCAGCTCTTATACTCTTTCTCTCTCTCTCACACTGTGCTGTGTTTTAGTATTTTGCAAAGAGGTTTTTTCCATCATTGTCTTCTCTCTCTCTCTCTCTGTATATATTTATTGGTCTTGCTTTTGATTCTCATTGGCTATGGGGGTTCTGTTATTGCCATGTTTCGTCATCTGATTGGTTTGTTTTCTCTCTCATAGCTTTTATGTCGGAGGTCAACATGAGCTTCTCTCACTACATGGATGATGAATACGAAAAACTCTTCCGGAGAATGAACCCTCCCAGGTACCAATTTTCACTTCCCATTTGATGAAAGAAAATAAGTCTTCGACTTTGGAAAACAAAGGGAAAAGGATAGAGAATTTAAATGATTCCGTCTTCACATATTTGTCCACATGTTGTCTTGTCTTGTCAGGGTTGTAATCGATAATGAATCCTGCAAGAATGCCACTGTTATACGGGTATGCCTATGCCTATTTCTCCTTTTTAAATGTTTTCTAGTTCTTCTTCCCTTTCTGGACTGCAATTCATGCTTCTATGATTGAAGAACTTTTGCCTGGTTTGATAACACTTTTATTTGATGGGTTGTTGAAAGTTAATTTAATTTTGCAGGTTGATAGTGCAAACAAGCATGGAATACTTCTTGAAGTTGTACAGATCCTCACTGATCTAAACCTCATCATAACCAAGGCTTACATATCTTCTGATGGTGGATGGTTCATGGATGGTAATAATTTTCTTTGATATTATTTCATTTTTATTACAAATACATTGTTAACCATAAGTTCTGGATGGGGTTTGAAAAATCGAGTAATTTATTTTATTGTACCAGTTTTTAATGTTACTGGACAAGATGGAAACAAGGTTACTGACGAGGCCATTTTGGATTACATTAGAAAGGTGGGTGTCTCATTTGGTGAACTTTATCTTCTCTGCCTTTATCTAACAATCACTGACCATGTGTTTGGTGGCATGTATGTTTTTAGTCTCTCGGTCCCGAATCTTGTGTTACTTCTCCCATTAGATCTGTTGGGGTTGAGCAAACAATGGACCACACAGTAATTGAGCTTATGGGAAGTGATAGGCCAGGATTGCTTTCAGAAGTCAGTGCTGTTTTGACCAACCTCAAATGCAATATAGTGAATGCAGAGGTGTGGACTCACAACACCCGGGCAGCCGCTGTAATGCACGTGACAGATGAAGTAACCGGGTCAGCTATCACTGACCCTAAGAGGCTCTCTATGATCAAGGAACTTCTATGCAATGTGCTTGGTGGTGGCAACAAGAAGAGGGTAGCTAAAACTGTTGTCACAGATGAAGTCACACACACTGAGAGAAGGCTTCACCAAATGATGTTTGCTGATAGGGATTATGAACGAGATAATGATGATGGCTTTGATGAGAAGCAAAGACCAAATGTGAATGTTGTGAATTGGTCTGACAATGATTATTCAGTAGTAACTATTCAGTGTAAGGACAGGCCAAAGCTTCTCTTCGACACAGTTTGTACTTTGACAGACATGGAGTATGTGGTTTTTCATGCAAATATCGATGCTGAGGGGCCGGAAGCATATCAGGTATATCAGATTTACCACTTTGTTCTCAACGTACACACATGTACACGACGTGAGATTCCATTTGTTGCTTGGTGCTAGATGTTGGTCTTTTAAGAACATTAGCTAAATATTTTATGGTTGCTTGTTCAGGAATATTACATCAAGCATATTGACGGGTCCCCTGTGAAATCAGATGCAGAAAGACAAAGAGTGATACAATGTCTTGCAGCTGCAATTGAGAGAAGAGTTTCTGACGTGAGTAGTTTAATGTTACTGAAGTTGAGCTTTCTTGATTTATATTTCCACACGTAATTCCTACAGCCATGTTTTTCATTGTTGTGCTTGCCTGTGAGGCCTTATTTTGTCTGTGCAGTGATTTATTCTTAATCTTCTCCCAAACTTCAAGCTGAACTGTGACCCTTGTATTTTTTATATCATGTGATTAGTAGTGGTCCAAGATTAGTTGAAATGCAGTTGGTGGACTTTGACTACAGTTGTTATGTCCCACAACCAAATTGATTTTCTTATTGGGGGTTGAAATAGACTTGTTCAACTAGATTTCTTTTTCGTTTGGTTAATAATAAGTATGCTTATTTGAGTATCTGTCACATTATTCTTGGCTCTACAAGAACTTAAGTAAAATTTCAGGAAACAAACAGTACCCTTTCATATTTTTATATTATTGATTAGTATCCTTTGCTCTATAGTTCTCCTTAATCTTCATTCTTTATAAAGAAGTCATCTGGACCGCAAAATGTCTGTTCTTATATAGTCTAGACAATTGCCAGTTAGGTATTTTTGGTTTGTTTCTCCATCTACCTACTGTTTTGTTGGTCTCCTATTATATTATATGACTATTAATTTGTTATTTTTTATCCTGATTCAGGGTTTGAAGCTAGAACTCTGCACCACCGACAGAGTTGGACTTCTATCTGATGTCACGCGTATCTTCAGAGAGAATAGCCTCACAGTTACAAGGGCAGAAGTGTCCACAAAAGGAGGCAAAGCTGTTAACACTTTCTATGTTCGCGGGGCATCTGGTTTCCCTGTTGATTTGAAGACCATAGAATCCATTAGGCAAACAATAGGAAACACAATCCTTAAAGTAAAGGGTAGCCCTTCAGAGATCAAATCTGTTCCTCAGGATTCTCCCTCCAGATCCCTGTTTAGTGGTCTTTTCAAGTCCAGATCTTTTGTTAACTTTGGCTTGGTTAAGTCCTATTCTTGAGAAAGCCATCACACATGCCCATCTTTTCTTGTACAGTGAAAGAGGTGAAAGATGCAAAGGGCTTACTAGGAAGTGTGACACGACTTTAGTTTAGTGAAGTAGGAACACCATCATATCACACGCTAGAGAAAGTGGCTTGTAAATTCTCTACCCCTTCTTCTCCTTTATGTTTTTCCACCGTGGAATCCAATCACTTGGCTGTGTAACCTTGAAACAATTAGTTTCAAGCACATCATTTGTATATATTCATTCATTTTCTGGCACCAGTTATAAT